TCGATGGGCGGCTAGGTCATGAGGTGGGTTGGCGACTTGCAGGACGCGCAGTAGCTTTTTTGGGGGGCAAGCGAGCCCTTCGGAGTGCAGGATAGCTAGTAACGAGGAAAACAACCAGGGAGACTCTTCGACAGGTGGTATGGACAGATACGATTCCAAAGTGGCACAAAGATCTAAGATAGGTAGAGTCTGGGGCATAAATATTAGAGTCTGGGGCATAAATATTAACATGCAGGGTGGTAGAAACAGGCTGAAATGGGAAGAGATAGAAGAACAGCTAAGGGAAGAGAGGCCGATGGTATACGGTTTTGTAGAAACACATCTCAGGGACATGGAACAACCTCCGAACAATCCGGACTACGCGTGGGAATATTGTAATAGAACAGAAGGCAGCAGAATGGGGGGTGGTATTAGGGCATTCATTCATAAAAGTACAGACTGGCAAAGGGTCAAGCAGTAGTGCAAGGAACATTTATGGCTAAAAGGGAAAGTGGTAGGTCAAATGACACTCCTTGGTTTCGTGTACTTGTGGACGGGAGCAAAGGCCAGAGAGGAAAACCAGGCAATGGTAGAGTGTATATCAAAGGACATTCAGGAGTTAGGAAGAGAGTGCGACATAATTATACTAGGAGACATGAATGCGCACATGGAAGATATAGATGGGTATACCGACCCGACAGGCAAAATGATCATGGATATGTGTGAAAGGCTTGATTTGATGATTTGCAACAGTGCCGAGAAGTGTGAAGGGCAAATAACATAGGAGGTAGGAAGGCTGCAGTCGACGATGGATTATGCACTGATGTCACATATGATGTATGATAAGCTCAGGGGAATGCACATAGATGAACGTGGCTCCAGAAGTCTGGGTAGTGATCACAAACGTATCAAGCTAAGTTTTGGAAGAGCAGTGACAGTAGGAAGGTGACAAGATGAGCCACCACAGGAAAATTTTTATTAAGAAAGGCAAATTAAAAAATCCACCAAACAAATTCAGAAAGTAATCACAGAGGATAGTAAAACAGTGTGGACATACACGAATATAATTAGACTGTTTGAGCTAGAGCTTGCTAAGGCACGTGACAAGTCATACCGAAAAAGAAGACAGAAACCCAAAAGTTTTTGGGATGAGGAAGTTAAGAGAGCCATAGCAAAACGTCAGGAAGCCTCTAGGAAACACAGACATGCTAAGCAGCGGGGGGAACCGACAGATGATGTTGAAAGAAAATGGGAAACCTTTCTAAGCTGTAGAAGAGATGCATCCCTTCTGATCAATGAATAGATTAGAAGAAAGGGAGCTCAGTGGCTGGCAGAAGTACATCAAAAAGATAGAAAGGCAGCTGAGAAATTTTGGAACCATCTAAACTCCCTAAGAAATGAGACGAGTCTAGAGCAGAGTTTTATAACTACAGCCCAAGGTGCTAGGCTAGAAGGGGACGAAGCTATTGAATATATAAGATCAAGGGTGACAGAAAATTATCAACAAAGAAGTACTTTATGCACCACAATAGACAAGGACGAATCAAGTGGTGCAATGGCTCCATTTTCACAACGAGAGTGGGAAAGACTGAGAAAAGGGTTCCTAGTAGTACATCAACAGACCCAGATGGCATTCCAATTAGGCTGATAAAGACATTAGGTCCGAAGTCTAAGCAGGTTTCGAGAGAGGCAGTGAGCAAAATAATAATCGATGGTGAAGTTCCCGATGGATGAAAACTTAGCAGGATGAGCATGATCTATAAAGGAAAGGGGAACAAAGCTGACATAAACAACTACCGTCCTATAACAGTGACATCGGTGGTCTACAGGCTGGCGATGCAGATTATAAAGGAAAGACTGCAGGCATGGATAGAGGATGAGGGGGTGCTGGGGTAACTGCAGAATGGGTTTCGGAAACACAGGAGGTTGGAAGACAATCTGTTCTCACTGGCCGCAGTGCATCGAAATAGCAGAAAAGGAACACAGTCCCCTGTGGTTAGCATTTTTGGATATCAAGGGAGCGTACAATAGCGTGGTTCAAGAGGAATTGTGGGGAATACTGGACACACTAGGCGTGGAACATGTAGTCACTAATCTTTTAAAGGGCATCTATAAAGGTAACAAGGTAGTTGTAAAGTGGGAAAAACAGGTATCCAAGCCTGCAGAGGTAAAACGGGGGCTTAGGCAGGGGTGCCCCCTGTTACCCTTATTATTCATGATGTACCTACAAGGATTAGAGGCAAAATTAGACGGAAGTGGACTGGGCTTCAACCTCTCTTTATTCAAACAAGGAAAACTTATTGATCAGGCACTACCAGCATTAATGTACGCAGAGGATATAGTGCTAATGGCCAACAACAAGGAAGATTTGCCGAGATTGATGGACATCTGCGGTAATGAGGCAGATAGGTTAGATTCTAGATTCAGTAAGGAAAAATCAGCAGTCATGATTTTCAATGACAACGAAGGTAGTGAGCTTAGAATACAGGAGGTCACGCTAGAGATAACAGATAAATACAAATATCTGGGCGTATGGATAAGCAATGGGACCGAGTACCTGAGAATATACGTGACGACTAAAGGTAACAGGAATGCAGCAGTGATGAAAAATAGGGCACTGTGGAATTACAATAGGTGTGATGTTGTGAGAGGAATATGGAAAGGGGTCATGGTTCCTGGGTTGACGTTCGGCAATGCGGTCTTGTGCATGAGATCAGAAGTTCAAGCAAGATTAGAAATTAAGCAACGTGGAATAGGTAGGCTTGCTTTAGGAGCTCCCGGGAATACATCAAATCAGGGAGTACAAGGTGATATGGGATGGACATCATTTGAGGGCAGGGAAGCTAGCAGCAAGATAAAATTTGAGAAGCGATTGAGAGAAATGGGGGAGGAGCGTTGGGCTAGGAAGGTATTCAGCTACTTGTACATGAAGAATGTCGATACAAAATGGAGGAAGCGAACCGGGAAGTTGACTGGTAAATACTTAGAAAACAGCAGGTGGCCAAACCAAAAAGAACTATCGGTTAAGAAGAAAGTGAAGGAAACAGAGACTGACATGTGGAGAATGGGCATGATTAAGAAGTCCGCACTAGAGATCTATCGAACTTTTAAGCAGAAAATTGCCAAGGAAAGGATCTTTGATAATACTCGGGGTAGTTCTCTACTGTTTGAGGCTAGGACGGGAGTACTGCGAACCAAGACATATCGGGCCAAATACGAAGGGGTAGACACTGTATGCAGTGCGTGTGGAGAGGAAGAAGAAACTGCCGAACACTTGATAATGTTCTGTAAAGGGCTTCACCCGATAGTTCAGGATGATGGCGCAGAGTTTTTCAAAGCACTGGGGTTTAGGGACCGGGAGGGCAAAGTAGACTTTAAGCGGGTAGACATAACTAGAAGGAGGTTATGTGATTGATGGCTATAGTCAAGGCACGAGTGAAAATTAAACTCTTCACTGCAAAGTACGAACCCTCAAACTCACTTTTTAAGGGAAAAAAATATAGTTTTTGATTCATTAAGTATTACGGCTTGGTGGCGCTAGCCACCGCCCAATCTAAAGGGTACAGCCATATCCATGCATCCATTCATCCATCCAGTGCATCATCTTTGTAGTCTTCCTCCCTGCCGCCGCGGGCAAGCAGTCGCAGAACGTACACTAGTACGAGGTACGCTCACGGCTGCGCGCCTGTGCAAGATACCTGTGCTGATAATGGTGAACTGTGCCTTATTTGGTTGCTACAATCACTCGAGTGAGAAGGCTGGTCATGAGAATGCGTCTGATGTCGGCTTTTTTTTTTCTCTTCCATACCTAGAATGATCGTAAACCAATCGAAAAGGTTTGGATGGTTCAGCCACACTCTATACCACGTGTGCGTTAAACATTTAATTTCCGATAAGTGTTCAGAACCTATGCAACATCTTAGAGGTTCGCGTTTGTGGTGGAAAACTTGGGTTTTCGCGACGTGCTACGGAGCTTTGTTTACGCAGCAGGAGACGAGCGTGCGCACTACGACCGCGATCGCTGCTTATCAGCGGTATCAATCAGGTAGGTGCTACGTGTTACTCGATTTATCTGTGTTAGTAAACAGTCAGCGACGCAGTGCGTTCTCGTTTACCCTTTACCCATGCTTTACAGAGCTGAGCACATTAACGTCGATCAGTTACAATCGAGACCATGTGATTTCTGGGTGCGCAACTGCCCGACGCGCGTCATTGGACCCTGCAGCAAAGAGCATTTTTGATCGCAAGCGGCTTGGGCTCAACCATGAACAAACTATGACAATTGTATCGCCTCACATGCTCTTGCAAATCGTGAAGCCCTTCTACACAAAGAATTCGGGAAACGACACCACCGCGGTGAAAAAAAAAAAATTATTCGTCCGAGCACTGAGCAAGGAAAAGCAGTCACGTTTCCGACGACGACGCGGCGGCCGTCTCCGAGGTCTCTAACTCGATGCTATTGAACCCATCCGCTAGTGACATAGTTTTGGGTGTCCATCAATTTACATGCTTTAAGTTCGTCCCTTGTTGCAAAGCTTGTGCCGCCAACAAGGTGGTCCTTAATGTCCGTGAGCTTTATGCGGGAATAACACTTCAAATCCCACACAGCTTCATCGCTGCTGAAGTCGAACGGGTCGATATCCGCCGCAAATGTGAACCTTATGTTCATAGCGAAGTTTCGCCGGACTTCGGAAGTCACGCGAGTAAGCACTCAATCGAATTTCACCACGTTGGTACCGTACGTAGCGGCACGCACACAACCTCTCACTGCCGCTCGCCGCTTCAAAAGGGGCGCGCTTAGACTATTGACATGGCGGTAGAGGCAAACGCCGCTAGCGCCTCAAGGGGATGACGTCACGTGCAACCCTCCTCTAAAACTCTGTGATCCGAAACCTACCATCCTCCGTGCCTACTATGGATAGATCACTCCACTACACCATGGAGAAAAGAATAAACATTGCAGTGTTTCTTGCAGTGGCTCTGTCATGGGCTCTGTGGTGGATAGGTGGCAGGTCGGTTTTCAAACCACGCAGATTTGTGTGCGGGCATGGACGTGCTGCAGACCGGTGTATTGCAGCTAATACGATCTGAGAAGTTGTTCGGATTCCGGCGTTTATTCTCAAATATGGTAAAAACAATGTTAATGAGCAGTGCTGGCGACTGTAGGCGACCTAACGCACCCTGAAAGACGCTACTCGTCGTTTCTTACTGCGTGGCCAAGGTGCGTACTTCCCTTGCCTACTCATGCAGCATACGTGCAACACACTATCATCGTTTGGTGCGTGCTTGTATACATGGTTAGCAAACACGCTTTATTTTTGCGACCGTCGTGTGGCGCAGTGTCATGTACAGTGGATCGGCGTGATCAATCGCGTTGCGAAAGGGCTTCTGCGGGCGAAATTACGCACAGTAGGGCAGCACAAAAAGAGCACCGTGCTGCTTCTTTATGAAGCTCATCGGTGCGGTCAGCTTCTGTCAAAAGACGTGGTTAAGAGCGTTGCTTCGAAGCGATGGAAAATGCCGAAGTAGAGAGTTGATATGGTAGCATAATTGAAAGGCCATGATGCTTTTAGGCACTTGCCGGGACCGTCAGCCACTGGATCCGTCAATGCAGTTGGGTCTCGAATACCAACCTGTAGACAGCTTACCGCTGTACGTGACAGCAGTGGCGGATGGAGAAGATCAAGCATGTGGCAGTCACTGTCGTGCTACAGGAGCTTCGATCATCGAAAATACTGTGCGCTAGGTCGGTGCAGCTGTGCTGGGATAGCGGGCAATGATCGGCGCCCATTCACACGACTCGCGAACTATGGAGACCAATGTAATCAAGCTCCTACGACTATCTGGGGCCAAAATCTTATAAAGAGACACCATAGTGGACAGTGCATGTGATGTGATTGACTTTCTGCTCATGTTTGTGGGAAAGCGTGCCTCGACAGAATTTTCACGCGAGGCTTGTGGCCTAGCAGTGGTAGAACTCTGTTGGTGTGTGTCTGGTTCATTGTATTTCCTCTTTATGATTCCATGGATCCACGTCCTGTACACGCATTCACTTTCTGCCAGTGTTGGAATATCCGCTGTACTTGCTAACGTCCCGATTGTGCTTCCAGTGAACTCTGTTCCACTGAACACGACTGTTTCAGCTGTCACATGGCTTCTGCACAATGTTCCATTGCCCCCATACAACTTTAGCAGTTTGATGTGACCAACTGCTATGAAGCCTGCAACCGTTTGGATGATGCATTTGAAGGTCTTGCATTTGGACATGTAGCGTGCTGGTGTCACATGCTACAGTAACGTCAGGTGACAAAAGTAGGGTGCTCCACACTGAACGTCATAGCAGTGAGTGGCGCTGGGCAACACTCCCAGGTTTATATGCTCATAGATACCCCATACGACCACCCGGTAGCTCAGTTGGTAGAGGATTGGACACATTCTCTGAAGGCTGATTTGCTGCCAGTCAGTTGTCTTTCCGGTCCATGTTACAATTGCTGCATTACAGTTTATGACTACAAATATGCCCTTACACTTTCCTTGGCTTCATTTATCTTAACAGCGTGACAAACATAGACAAAGGACAAAGCTGCCTTTTGAATGAAGGCTTATTAATGAAAGTGGAAACATCTACACAAGGCTGAGCACTTTGTAACGAACTCAGCCTTGACCCTTTATTGTCATTCAACTTAAAATACTGTGCACAGTTATACTTGGGTACAACCCAAAAAAGAAGAGCTTGTTGCCCTCAGAGGACCCCCCCTCTCTTCAGCCAATGGTGTTGCGGCTGCTTTATGACACGCAGCTTTGTGAGTCCTGCTGTGAGCGTGGTGTGTGGGTAGGTGCCGCAAGGTCACGATGACATGGTGAAAACCTGCTTCCTTTTTTTGATTTCTACCTGAGTAAAAGCATTGCTATGGGAGCTTCGACTGACTGCAAAAAGACGGCTAAGTTACAGACAGCAAAAGTAAATATGGCCACAATACCAGGCCCAGAATAGCAGCAGATCCTTATCCACTAACTAACAAATCACTTTTAATTTGTTGATTGATTTATATGCGGGGTTTAACAGTCCGAAACCATCATATTATTATGAAAGATGCGATCGTGGAAGCCTCTGGAAATTTCGACCACCTAGGGTTCTTTACCGTGCATCCAAATCTAAGCACTCGGGCCTACGGCATGTTCGCCTCCATCAAAAATGCAGCCGCCTCAGCCAGAATTCGTCATACTTATTCAGTCCAAAGCTCTTGGAACAAAGTTTGAATGATACTCTTCTAGGAATCACTCACTCAAAGTCCAGCGCTGTTGTTGATTCGCTACTGCCGAAGTTTCTCTTCCAGGAAACCTTGTGTCTTCGAATGTTCGTACTCCAAGCACCAAACTTCTTCGTCAGTGACACGTCGGCTTTCTACGCGCAGTTGCTGCAAAAGCGTCTTTGCTCGCTGGCGGCAGACACTCTCTCTTTTTCTGCTTGTAGTACTAGCCTTCACCTTTCAGGTAGAAACCTTCTTCATCGCCTGCTTTGTCACTGACGACAAAAGCCTTCGCCCAACAACGGGACAACTCTACGCACTTTTGCGCAAAGCTTCCTTCATCGCCTGCCTACACACACTGGCATAAACTGTCTTCATCTTCTGATCACCACTCTTCGCTGCTCGCTTAAATACTTTCGCGCTGGTTTCTGGATGTTTCTAATCGTTTCGTCAGCACTCTGCACAGCCAAGGCTGGGGAAAGGGCAAGCCTTTATGAGTACAATCCGCGACAGGAGACGCAACCAAGAAGTGACACGTGTTTTGCATCTCGATGATTCTGGGAGCCACTCGGCATACGTTTCCGGCAACACCCTCTAACGTGAGAGCTGTAGAAAGGGCGGCACCTCTTTCTCGTAAGATGATGCAACTCTGCCTCATCATGCCCCTTTCTTCATAGGTTTTTTGAGCAATCTCTAGCCGGCCGATGCGAGGAGATTTGTCGGCGAAACTGCGCCTCCGAGGGGGAGAGCCGGTGCGCCCGAGGAGTGCTTTGATGTTTGTTTTTTCTTTACCGCTGGCTCTGGAGTGACTTTCTGGCACCTGGTATCATCGCCTGAATTTGGCGGTGCACGCTTTCCTGAGCGCTCGTTTGTGACAGCAACAGTTGTGACAACACACGACGTAAGCAATTGCACTCGGTAATCCTAGAGGTGCACTATATGCTGCCTTTAGGTAGCACAGTTGCGCATACGTTTTCCTTCCACCGCTCGTGCCGCTGGTGAAGGCTGTCACGTACTTGGTGAAAAGGGACGTCAAATGTTCAAATTAATGTGGCGGATCCAACTTTACATGCATGATGGCGCGACGCTCGTGCGTTCTACGGCTGCACCGACTTGAGTCTCATCGTGACCGCGATTAGGGGCTTTTAGCTTGTACGTATATGATTTGTGTTACCATGTTACCGAATAGAATCTGCGCACGTGCAGGTCTTTACAGAACGTAAAGCTTTACGTAACGTACACTACTCGCTAGGTAGGCTTTACGTTTGTGGCAGTATTTTGCAAATTCACCTTCGTTCACAGAAACTCGCGATATCTGCATGGTGGAGAGTCCAGACATCGTGTCAAAATAGCCGAAGTGTGAGTGACAATAGCGATTACATTGTTTCAGCCGGATTACCAAAGCTAGAATGGCAAGAACATCGAAGCCGCAACCGTGTGAGCCGTCGATAGACTGGATAGGTGGTGTCATCTAGCGGAGTCAAAATGAACCAGGTCATCCCTACATTGTTATTGCAGAAAGACTGTGCATCATTTGTCTGGTGTAGTAACCGCGCTGTGGCATTATTACGAATGAGTTACTTTTTTCAATCATTTGCACCTGATATAGTTTATTGTTGAGTTTAAGTCCTAACACCACCATATTATTATGAGAGACGTAGTAGTGGAGAGCTCTGAAAATTTCAACCAGCTGAGGTTCTTTAACATGCACCTAAATCTGAGACACGGGCCTCGAGCATTTTCGCTACCTATAGCAAAATACCGCTGTTTAATCAAGCACAGCACCAGGTCAAACTGAGGAAGAATCGCCTCCTTCCATGAGCATGTCTGTGCTCACGGGACTTGCAGCCAGATGTAAACCTATACGGCTGAAAACTAAGTATCGCTCGCGATGTTTAAGCCTCGTTTTTGTCAGTGAGCCATATGCCATTTTAGACAATCTGGTGCCAAAACCCAGGAACTGCTATGAGGGTCCACGGAAGACTACAGAAAGCTTTGAATGAGCTCAATGTTATGGAGAGGCTGAAACCGAAGCAGACATCGAGACGATCTCTCAACACTAGGATTAACAACAAGGCAAGAGCTCTTCTAGGCAATGCGACAGCCACAATCGACCAGCTGAACGCCATTTTACGGACGTTTGAAGGCAAACAACGATGAGCTGAACCAAATCAACAGGGAGTTAGAGGGCCACATACCAGATGAAGAGTTTCAGGAAGAGTACAACACCGTCCTTGAATACGAAGTCAATGCTCACAGCGTCATGAGTGAGATTCTAAGCAAGCGCGACAGTATTGTTGTGGTCACGTCATCAACACCGAGGCTTCAGACTTCGTCAGTAGCCAGTAACGCTGGAGTCTCTGGTGTCAAGCTTACCATCACCCCATTTGCTGGTGACCTGTGCTAGTGGAACGACTTTTGGGAGCAATTTCACCAGATGATTCACGGGAACAGGAGCCTCACAGTAACGGACAAGTTCAACTACCTGAGGTTCTTCCGAAGGGGTGACACAGCTTCAGCTATGGTGGGCCTGCCAACCACAGAATCAGGCTACAAAGATACCATCGACATATTCAAGAAACGCTTCAGTGACAGAACGAGACTCGAACAGGAGTACTTCTCCAACCTTCGTACGTTGCCTTCTGTCCATTCAAGTGCCCCGTCTGCTCTTCACAAGGTGTACGACCAGGTCATCATCAACATCAGAGGACTGAAGACGCTTGAGGTGAGCAAGACGTTCTTTTTGCCAACACTGTGCGACATTGCTGCGGGCTTTACCACACGATCTCGTTGTACAGTACCATCAGTCATGCGCCAATTGGGTGACAAGCTACAGCAATAATGCAGCCTCTAACGCGGAGCTGGAACGCTTATTAAGTTTCTTGTCTATTGAAGTGGAGAGCTTAGAGAAGAGTGAGTTCGCTAACCACCATGGAAAAGGCAGTCATAATGAGAATGCACAGAACAAATC